TGCCAAAAGCTCTCTGGGAGAATGTAGAGGAAAGAATCCAAAGCCTCAGGAGGATTCGCTCATTCATTGAGAACAAATGCTGGACTGAGTTTATCAGACAACTCTATCCAGAGAGACTCCCTTCACCATCATTTAGAAGTTCATTGCTGAGGGGAATGTCTGAAAAGTTTGTCTGCTAGAGTTGCTGTAACAAAGTACCACACACTGAGTGGCTTAAACAACAGAAAACGTGTCACAATTCCTAGTATGACTTCAACTCATTGCATCTGCAAAGATGCTATTTTTTTTTAAGATCATTTATTTATTTATTCATGAAAGACACAGAGAGAGAGGCAGAGACATAGGCAGAGGGAGAAGCAGGGAGCCTGATATGGGACTGGATCCCAGGAGCCCAGGACCACGTCCTGAGCTGAAGGCAGATGCTCAACCACTGAGCCACGCAGGTGCTCCTTTTTTCTTTAAGATTTATTTTATTTGAGGGATTCCCTGGGTGGCGCAGCGGTTTAGCGCCTGCCTTTGGCCCAGGGCGCGATCCTGGAGACCCAGGATCAAATCCCACGTCAGGCTCCTGGTGCATGGAGCCTGCTTCTCCCTCTGCCTATGTCTCCGCCTCTCTCTCTCTATCATAAATAAATAAAATAAAAAAAATATTTATTTTATTTGAGAGAGAAAGAGCACAAGTGGAGAGGCAGAGGAAGAGTATCCCAAGCAGACTCTCTGCTGAGCACAGAGCCCGATGCAGGGCTTGATCTCAGGACCCCAGGATCATGACCTGAGCTGAAATCAAGAATCGGATGCTTACTCGAGTGTACCACCCAGGTGCCCCCATGGGTCAAGGATTTGACTAGAGACACTATAATTAAGATGACTCCTTGAATTCAACACAGATACGAGGGCCCTGGGTGTTAAGAGCCAAGTAGGAGCCTTGAGCTGCCGAGGAAAGGTACAAGAGACCATGACATGCAGTAGGACATGCTGGTAATCTGCATGGTCTGGCCTGGAAGGGTCTTTGCCAGGATCACCAGGCCCCTATGACCAAAAGGTAGGCGCTAAAGTCCTCCTTAATGTGTTTAGCAAGAGGACTGGCAGAGATTTGCCTGAAACAGAGGATTTTCCTCCAAGTTTCTAGATAAAATCAGCTCATAAACCCAGGGGCCCCTGAAGGAAGTGGAGTGGGTTACCCATTAAAGAAGGAGGCCCCTGTGAAAATGGCACAGGTTCATGGTGGCACTTTTTTCACTGTCCTTCCCAAAGGGCTTTGTGGCCATTAACTGAGGTGTGGCAGATACCAGTGCTAGTCTACCCCAAAGCCATTTTTCAATTTTTAAAACTTTATTCATGAGAGATACACACAGAGAGACAGAGACACAGGCAGAGGGAGAAGCAGGCTCCCTGCAGGGAGCCTGATGCAGGACTCTATCCCAGGACCTCGAGATAATGCCCTGAGCCGAAGGCAGATGCTCACCCACTGAGCCACCCAGGCATCCCTCACTTTTTTTTTTTTTAAGATTCTATTTATTTATTCATGAGAGACAGACAGAGAGAGAGAGAGAGAGGCAGAGACATAGGCAGAGAGAGAAGCAGGCTCCATGCAGGGAGCCCGAGGTGGGACTTGATCCCAGGACTCCAGGATCATGCCCTGGGTGTGAAGGCAGACGTTCAAACTCTGAGCCACCCAGGCATCCCACTTTTTTTTTTTTAAGTAATCTCTACTGGATGTGAGGCTCAAAATCACTACCCCGAGATCAAGAGTCACATGCTCCACCAACTAAGCTAGCCAGGTGCCCCATTTTTTCCTTTTAAAAAAATATTTGAAAAAAAATATTTGAGGGATCCCTGGGTGGCGCAGTGCTTTGGCACCTGCCTTTGGCCCAGGGCGCGATCCTGGAGACCCGGGATCGAATCCCACGTCGGGCTCCCGGTGCATGGAGCCTGCTTCTCCCTCTGCCTGTGTCTCTGCCTCTCTCTCTCTCTCTCTCTCTCTCTCTCTCTGTGACTATCATAAATAAATAAAAATAATAAAAAAATAATAATTTAAAAAAACATTTGAGAGAGTCTGCACATGAACAGGGAGAGGGGCAAAGGGAGAGGGAGAGAATCTCAAGTAGACTGCCCTCTGAGCACAGAGCCCAAAGTAGGGCTCTATCCCAAGACCCAGAGATCATGACCTGAGCTGAAACTAAGAGTCACACACCCAACTGACTGAGCCACCCAGGTGCCCCTGCATTTTTCTTTCTTTTTTTTTTTTTTTTTTGCATTTTTCATTTTTAATAAAATAGTTTTGTTCAAACAATGTAACAACATACCCAGGCCCACACATAATTGGTCTAAGCCAAACATATTAACACTCCCCTTTGCAGGTGATAATTATATTTTAATTTATTAATATATAATAAATATTATATTATAAACATAATTCAAATGTTGCTGAAATCTATGGATTTTTTTTAAAAGATTTTGTTTTTCAGTAATCACTACACCCCATGTGGGGCTTGAACTCACAACCTCGATATCAAGAGTTGCACACTCCACCAACTAAGTCAGCCAGGGGCCCTTGCTAAAGTCTAAGCCTTTGCAACAGCATTTCTTTCTATCCAAGTATCTTCTGACCCTAACATCCAATGATGGTCATTGTTTCCTAGAACCCAAAATGCTACACAATTTTTCAATATGATGATATATAATCCCTCTTTCTAGGTTGTAGTAGAAAAGGACCTGAAGAAAAATTCTCATAGTGTTAAATCTCATTCCTTCTGCTGTTGCTTTGCTACTAAAAATCTTTAATACCTCTTCTAAAAGCGTCGAGTCCTCTCAGGTCAGGTGTTCATCCAAGAACTCTGCCCAGAGACAGAGTGAGGACCATCAAGCTGTCCCCAAATCTCACCCACCAGGAAGACCATCACAGCTGAAATCCCTCGGGACACAGGGATGAAGCCCAGGGGTTTCTATCACCCATCATGACACAGGTGGGTAAGACAGAGCCATAGCCCTTGGCAACAATGAACCACCCAGAGGCAGCCCAGCCACGGCTACCTCTGCCCCGACACAGTGGGAGAGGTGCCGATGGGTCCCCAGCCATGTCCATCCACATGGGGTCTGCTGGTCTCCAATAGCCCAGCCCCAGGGCAGGAGGTATATAAAATCCAATGAAGTTTTGGGGCAAGGGCAAGGGCAAACCCTGCCCTTGGTCACCATCTTCCCCAATCCAGAGGTAGGTGACAAAGAAAACAGGACAGAACCAGCCAACATGCCCCCACTCACGACCTTGTGTAGCCTCTCTGTCCTCGACCCAGCCCCTGGCTCCCCTCCCCAAGGATGTCAACATTCAGGACCCATGATTTCCCTTTAATGGTGTTCCACCCCAGATGTCCCTTCACGCATCTGCTTCCTGCTCAGGGGTGAGGTCCCAGAAGATTGGCCCAGAGAAAACCTGGCCCTGGCCCTGCCCATGTCCAGGCCCAGAACTCACTCCAGGGTAAGACAGTTAGTTTCCTCTCCAGAGAGGGGTGTAGGCACGAAAGTGGGAGCTGGACCAAAGATCCTAACACAGACCAATGAAAGACCACAACATGGGAGTCTGCAGAACCAGATGGAAACACCTCACAAGTGGAGAAACAGCCACAAGATACAACCTTAGAGGGCAGCCCTGGTGGCTCAGTGGTTTAGCGCCACCTTCAGCCCAGGGTGTGATCCTGGAGACCAGGGATCAAGTCCCACATTAGGCTCCTGCATGGAGCCTGCTTCTCCCTCTGCCTGTGTCTCTGCCTCTCTCTCTGTGTGTCTCTCATGAATAAATAAATTTAAAAATCTTAAAAAATATATATATACAACCTTAGATTCTTATTTATTTATTTATTTTTTAAAGTAAGCTCTAGGCCCAATGTGGGGCTCAAACTCACAACCTTAAGAGTCACATGGTCTACTGACTGAGCCAGCCAGGCACCCCAATTTTTTAAAAAATATTTATTGCAAAGAATGCTGGACACAGTGTGATATGTGGCTGAGATCCACCAACACCCATTCCAGTGAAAATGGGAAAATGTCTTTGACACAAGCACGTTGACCATCATGGATAAAATCCGGCAGCCAACCAGGGGGTTGCTGCCCATGCAGAGATCACTCCAGGCAGAGGCGGAGAAGAGCTGCCCCAACCCAGGCCATACCCCTAGACTTCCCTCTGCCCTATCCCGGTCCTTGTAACACTGTGGGTCCAGCAGCTCCTGACTGCCCTCTGGGCACAGAGAAAAGGCCTCACTGGTCTTGCCTCAGTCAGCCTGAGGTCCTGGAGTGGGGGACATCCAGATGTACATGCCACCAACCAAAGAGGCCCACTATGGCCAACAAGTGAGTGTGTCCAAGTGACCAAGTCACCAAAACTCTGGGGGACACAGAAACAAAGGCTATGGTCCTCATGTCCCAAAGACAGTGGCATGGTCCTCTGGTCCTGAGGCCAGGGCTAGGGGCTCTGGCAGGAGGTAAGTCCAGAAGATTCTGCTCCAGCCCTCTACTGGGTCTGTCCACAGCCACTGCAGCACACAGGGCTGAGCCACCATCAGCTGGGGGCAGGGGCGCATGCTTCCCTCAGGGGCAGGCGGCAACTACAGGCTACGAAAGCCCCAGGAGGCCAGGAAAGGTGGGCTGTTCTGCCAGGGAAGGTTCCAGATACAAAGTGGGCTCAGGCTCCTGGACCAGGACCCACTTGGGGATGCAGGGCATCCAGCTGCAGACCCAGACCCCTCCTCACGCAGCCTCACAATTTGCTGGCCTGGCCTCCTGCCCAGCTACAAAATGGGAGCCAGAACCTACTGCCCAGCCTGCCTCTTTGGACCCAAAAGAACTCAGGGGCATGACAGGTGGCAGCGTCCCAAGGCAGTTTCCTGCCAGGACAGGCTCCCATACACAGGAATCCGAAGCTGCACTATGCTGGGAAAATCCTCCCCTGGACAGGGCGCCTCGGATTTCCTGCCTTTCCCCTGCTCGGTGTCACAGGCAGAGGTCAATGAACGTCAGGACAGGCTTTTTTCTATGAATCATTCACAGCAAATGCATTTGTCTGCCCCCCAGGGTGTGCTCCTGCATGGAAACAGGTGGCAGTGGGGGAGAGGTAGCCTAGAGAGCACAGCCAGGAGGGCGAGGCAGGTTGGCAGCCTCTCCCCCCGAGCACCTGGGATGTGCACTGGAACGGGGGTGCTTACACGACTGCCCTGTCTTTGAGTGCTTTCACTGCGATAGCAGTTGGGCAGGGGCCTTGGCCACCAGCTCCCCCAAATGTTCCAGTGTGTGCACAGTAGGGAAGGAGTGACCAGAGAGGCTGTGCTCCCCGTGGGTTTCTATGCATCACGGCATGAAGTGAGCACAGTGTTCTCACAAGCGGCTCCGACACAACGGCCTGGCTGGTGGAGGGGTCTGCCTCGGCGGCTCTCCAGCTCCTGTCAGGGCAGGATGGGAAGGGCATTCCCCCGGACCCAAGGAGCAGAGCTCAGGGCCCCACACGGAGAGGGAAGCAGAGTCCCTGCTGGAATCCTCAGGTCTACCTCAGACAGTTCGGCCATGGTGGGAGCATCACAGCATGCGCTCTCCGTTCACATGTTTAGGGTTTCATACTTCACAAAGCCAACTGACCAGTGAGAGGACACCTCAAAGCTGCAACAGAAGGACCAGGTTGCTAGGAAACCTCTCACCAGTCCAGGGCAGATGCAGTCTGACCAAATGATTTTTAGCAGCAGGTTGGGCACCTCATGGAATCCTGTCTCCATTAACAAGGAAGCAGGTGGGCTGGTGCAGGGGCTCTGGGTGCCACCAGCCAGGTGCAGCTTGAGGATGCTCCAGCATAGAAACTGTCACATGGACCAGGGGGCTTGGGATGACCTTGTCTGCCGGGATTAATACCTTCCTGGGGGTCACCATGGATGAGACATGGTCACTGGTGAGCGGGAACCGTGACCAGGGCTTCCTCCGGAGGCCTCGAGATGTCTACATTCTGCAAAACAAACAAAACACAGAACATTCACTCTGTGGTGAGAATAGGTAGACATCCACTGTCCTGCTGTCTCCTTTCCCCATCACCATAGCCCTCTGGGTTCACATACTCACCCCCTAGGAGCCAAATTTCCCTAAGAGCCAGGGCCCAAGAGCCTCTCAACACATGGTGGGTGGACAAACATGAGGATTCAAAGGCAGGGGTGCACGGTGCCCTGGGTCCTGCTGGCTCCTAGCACACATGACAGGCAGCACCCAGAATGAGGCCATCCCACGTCCTACCTCAGGCCTGAGTCAAGTGGGAGGGAAGAGCTGGCTATGGGCCTGCCTCCTCACCAGTGGGAGCAAGGAAGGAGGCCCTTCCTTGGGGGCGCCTTCCTCTGGGTCTGAGCATCAGTGGACAGGTGTCAGATGAGGTCCCAGCAGCCTTCAGACCTCTCCTAGTCTGCGGCCTGCTCTGTACTCTGAGCTGGGGCACAGGGTACCCTGGACAGCCCTCAGCCACAGATAGCCCTTGCCAGACCACAAAGCCCAGCTCTTTCCACAGCCTGCTGAGCTCAGGCCTAAGGAATGGAAGGCCTGACGCTTTCCTCAGCTCCACAAGCTGGGAACTCCTTTCCCCCGGCACAGACCTCTATGGTAGGGCTGCTGGGAAGCCATCACACCCAGGGACCTCCCCACTGCCAGGGCGGCATCCTTGGGAAGGCCTCGCCCAGAGTCATAATCTTGTCCTGGTGATAAAAGAGCAGGTTTGGCAGAGTACTCAGGCTCATTCTGGCAGGCACCCCAACCGGACCTGGGTTTGGAAGATACCGTATCTTATGCCCCCAGGAATATGCTTGCCACCCCGCAATAACCCTGTTGTTACCTGAGGCCTGTCCCGGTGCGTGTTCACAGCCATCACATTCAGGAATATAGACTCCACTTTACAACCTGCCAAAGGAAAGATGTAAATCCATTTCCCCTCCTGGAGGGCAGCTAGACCCATAAAGGGTAGAAGCTTCTCTCGGGTAGAGGCCTGGAGTATTATAGAACAGAGCAGCCATTCTCAGCTTCATCCTGGTCCTCCCACCTTAGGCACCTTTGAGGAGCACATGAGGAAGGACGAGGCACCCCATTAGGCCTGTGCTTATCATGTGTCACAGCACAGCCTTGGTGAGAAGCCCAGACACCCAGGAGGGCTATGCTGAGGACACAAGCTATCCACTGCCGGGGTGGAGGGCATTCTAAGGAGCAGTGGGCCTGAGCTCAGCATGGAATCGTTACATGAGCCTTCAGGGGACCCCCAAACCACTCACCCCAAGTGTGCCACAAACACAGAGCCAAATCTATGCTACACCAGGTGCTCAGTGCAATAGGGACAAGGGGATGAATGGCATGACACCTGCTGCCACTGGGCTTTACAGTGATTCTCCCAAGGACATGGCTACCTGAGGGGTGCCTCATAGTCTATGTTGAACTTGAGGAGCTGAGACCCAGGAGTTTAGGAGGTGGCCTGAGGTCTCTGTGGGCACAGTGAAAGGCAGAGGTGGGACTCAAACGATTCTGCACTCAAAATACCCCGAATATTTTAAGGCCCAGGTCGTAGGAGCCATGGGGCTTTGTGGGGGTTTCAGAAAAAACAGTAGAAAAGCCCTTCATGCAGGTGGGTGATGGTAAAGGATCACTGGAAAGGCACATGTGGCCACAGAAATTAAAACCAAAAAAAAAGGTAAAAAGTAAATTGGGAGGGGCTCCCGGCAGGCTCAGTCAGGGGAGCATGTGACTCTTGATCTTGGCATCACGAGTTCCAGCCCCACGTTGAGTGTAGAGCTTACTTTAAAAAAAAGTAAACTGGGAAAGGCAGTGGAGTGGGCAGAAGAGGAATGAGCCCCTAATGGAATTTTCAGGGATCTGCAGAAAATTCACAGAGCCCCATGGAAAGCCAGAACCTGGCAACCAGATGAGTGTGCAGGAAGCTTCCTTACCGTAAGCCACAGGGGTTAGCTTCAGGACGGTGTGCAGTGGACACTTGAGGTAGGGCAGCTGTTCTGTGGACACAGATAGGAAGGGCTGGCACACCAGGGATGCCCACATAACAGTCCCTCTGTTTCACATATACACATCCCACCTCCCAGGGGACCAGCCCGCACCTGCTGCCTTATCAAGGAAGTAGGCCAGGAGGCAGCGCATCACGGCCTGGTGGCAGATGACCAGCACATTCTCCTGCCTCTCCAGCTCCATGATGACAGGCTCGAGTCGCTGGACCAGGTCCTCGTAGGACTGCAAGGGAAGTGGGAAGGGTCCCTCAGGCCCTGCTCCAGGGGTAGTGATGGAGACATTCTGGGTAGCAGGCTACCTCCTCATGCCCGGGACCCTCACCATTCTGGGAGGTTGTGGCTAGGGATACTCCAGCCTGACCCCTGGGGACCTGGGGGTGGACAGCTCCAGGCTAAGGCCTGCCCCTATAGGACAGTGAGATATCCAGCTTGAGAGGGAAGCTGGGAGGGGAGACTTAGCAGCCTGGGAAAGATCGCATCCTCCACCCTAGGGCCACGGCCTGGGAGGACTAGAGGGCAGGGCTGGGCCTCGGGCTACCATCTTAAGGGGCCATCTCGTACACCCACCTATAGGGCCCTTGGCTGAGCCCTCTCCTGCTGGAATTCACACACTGGCAGCTGAGGACTGGTGGGAGAGACACCACACCCCTCTAGCCCACAGCAGGTGGAACACACAGAAGGAACCGTGGGGGTAGGAGGAGCAAAGACCCTCCAAAACTTCCCGGAGCACAACCTGTCGGCATTCCTCAGGGCCTAGGAACAACAATCCTCACCGTCTGCCTGTCCTGTGCCTCCCCTGGGTGCCTTGAGGTAGCTGTTGAGGGAGCCCTTGGACCTACACTTGTGCCCTGAGGGTTAGAGACTTATCCACCTAGAGACCAAGCCCTCTTTGCATACAGCAAGTGGTTCTTCAAAACACACACCTCAAGCTGCAGCTGAAAGTACGCTGACTGGAGCAATGCCCTGTAGTTCTAGGGGAATTCTAGATCAGTTCTTTTGGTAACTGTAATTTCCCTACCAATTCTCCCTTTGTATTCTCAAGTCTGAACAGGCCACTGCTTTGCTTCTTTTTACTGTGATGGGTTAGTTTTAAATCTGAGCTCTGTCTCCCAGTCCACAAGGGGAATAATTAAAGCTCCCCAGAGCTGTACTTTTCCTGAAGATAGTATAGCAGAGGGGCTGGGAGTCTGGCATCTGGGGTGGGGGTATGGGGATCTTCTGCGTGTGTCCATGGATGTGCATACACACTTGTGTGTCTGCAGGGGTATCTTGGTTTGGCCACTGGCCCAGGCCACTTCCTAGAAATGGAAGATACCCAAGTCAACGGTGACCTATTTCTGAGCTGGAGCTTGGGCTGAGACAGAAGCCAGCCTGAGGGAAGGTGTCAGAGCACATGGCTTGCTGTGCCACGACTCAATTGGGAAAAGTCTCTCTAGGTCTGTATTCAGGGCCCTGAATCTGGAGCCACAGGGAGGACATGATCCCTGTGATACCACGGGGAAGGGGAAAAGCAAAGATGAGCAATACTGGGGAGCAGGGATCCAACGAGTCTCAGAGTTGGGAGTCCAGTGCACCTGCCCAAGGTGGGTGAGGACTGCAGCCTGGGCACCATGGCTGGGAAGTGGTAGAGATGACACACACACACAGCCTGGCCAAGCTCTAGGGTCAGGCCCCACTTGCTGTCCATGCAGCCTCCACAGAGTGCTCCAGGGGTTCTGAGGCACGGCAGGTGGCGGCTGGGACTAAGGCCCCAAATCCCACCTACCTCCCCCTTGGGGTACCGGTACCGGTACTTGTCCTGGTCCCGCAGGGCAAACTCCAGTGGATAATGATCCTGAATTTCCTCATAGGTCATCTCCTCGCAGACACCCTAGGGAGACACAGTGGTCATCACATCTCCCATGCAAGGCCCGGGATCAACCCTGTGTCAAGGGGGAGGGCAGGCAGAGGGGACCAGGTTTACAGGGCATTTCCTAGGCCATGGGGCCCCTCCTAGCCTGGACTTAGAACCTATCTGGGAGGAGCAGGCCCATAAAAGAGGAGTCTGCATCTCATTTGTAAAGAGCTACCAGAACAGTCTTTTCCATCCATCCATCATCCATCCATCCAGTTTATGCCATAAAAATAAACACAGAAATGTTAACTATTGTGTCTTCTGTTTTCTGTGCTATAGAAATACTTACTCTGAATATGGACTGTTGTACAAGCTATAAAGCAAGATTTCACTTGTGTCCTTCAATATACACACTCACTCACATGTAGCATAGATTACCTTATACAAATGCTATTTTCAAAGAAATCCAGCAGAGAACACTGGTTGAGAACACTTAAGTATGGTTCAAGGGCCTTGAGAGGAGAAGAAGCCATAAAATGTCCTAATAAAAAGCTGCTGTTCTCTGCCTTTGTTCTAAGTTGTTTCCTAGACAAAGCCTTGGGGCAAAGTTGTCTATTAAGAAAGAAAAACCGGGAGGAAAACTTATAGCTGTAAATGTCTATATATATAAAAAAAAAAGAAGAAGAAGAAAGATCGCAAATCATCCCACCTAAAGTTACTGGAAAAAGAAGAGCAAGCTAAACACAAAGCAGGCAGAAGGAAGGAAGTAAAAAAGATACAAGCAGAAACAAATTTAATAGAAAAGAGAAAAAAGCAATGAAAGCAGAAATTGGTTCTTTGATAAGATTAACGGAATTCACAAATCCTTTGCCAAACTGACAAGAGAAAAAGCTCAAATCACTACAATCAGGCACAAAAGAGGAATATTACTACCAAGCTTACAGAAAGAGAAGAGACTCTAAGGGACTATTGTGAACAACTCTGTGCCAACAAATGAGGTAACTTACATTAAGTCAGAGAATTCCTAGAGAGACAAACCATCTTTGTTGAGTGGGGTGTTCAAGTCCTAACACCTGGTATTTGTGAGCATGATTTTATTTAGAAATAGGGTTTTGGGGATCCCTGGGTGGTGCAGCGGTTTAGAGCCTGCCTTTGGCCCAGGGCGCGATCCTGGAGACCCGGGATCGAATCCCACGTCGGGCTCCCGGTGCATGGAGCCTGCTTCTCCCTCTGCCTGTGTCTCTGTCTCTCTCTCTCTCTTTGTGACTATCATAAATAAATAAAAATTAAAAAAAAAAAGAAATAGGGTTTTGGGGGCACCTGGGTGGCTCAGTTGGTTGAGCATCTGACTCTTGGTTCTGGTTCAGGTCATGATCTCAGGGTTGTGAGATTGAGCCCTGAGTCCAGCTCTGCACACAGTGTGGAGTCTGCTTGGGAGTCTCTGTCTCCCTCTCCCTCTGTCCCTCCTTCAACTTGTGTGTATGTGCTGTTTCTTAAATAAATAAAATCTTAAAAAAAAAAAAGATTTTATTTATTTATTCATGAGAGACACACCGAGAGAGGCAGAGATATAGGCAAAGGGAGAAGCAGGCTCCCCATGGAGAGCCCGATGCAAGACTCGATACCAGACCCGGGATCACACTCTGAGCCAAAAGCAGACGCTCAATCGCTGAGCCACCCAGGTGTCCCTAAAATAAATAAAGCCTTAAAAAGAAAAAAAAAAAGAGAGTTTTTTAATATGTAACCAAGTAGATGAGGTCACCAAGGGGGGGCCCTCATCCACTAACTGAAGTCCTTTCAAGAAGACCAGGTGAAGACACAGAAAGTCACACAGGGATGAAGGCCATGTGAGGACAGAGACTGAGGTGATGCAGCTATCTGTAAGTTAAGGGATGCCAAGGATTGTTGGCAAAGACCAGATACTTGTTAAAAATATGGGCATTGACAGTGATTCTGCTGAAGGCTCAGAAAGAAGTGAAGCACAGCAGAGAAAGCTTCTATCATCTTTTTTAAAAGATTTTATTTATCTATTCATGACAGACACAGGAAGAGGCAGAGACATAAGCAGAGGGAGAAGCAGGCCCCATGTAGGGAGCCCGATATGGGACTTGATCCCAGGATTCCAGGATCACGCCCTGGGCCGAAGGCAGGTGCTTAACCGCTGAGCCACCCAGGTGTCCCAAGCTTCTATTATCTTAAAAATACATATATCCTCATGAGCATAACGCTGTTAGAAATATGGATGTTGAGGTGCCTAGGTGGTTCAATTGATTAAGCAGCCAACTTTCTTTTTTAACAGATTGGTTTAGGGACACCTTAAACAACTGAGCCAGTCAGGCACCCCTAAGCAGCCAACTCTTAATTTCAGCTTAGGTCATGATCTCAGGGTCCTGGGATTGAGCCCTGTGTTGGGCTCCACACTTAGCAGAGAATCTGCTTGAGATTCTCTCTCTCCCTCTCCCCTCTGCACACCCCTGCCCCACTCATGCTCTTTCTCTCTCTCTCAAATAAATAAATAAATAAATAAATAAATAAATATTTTTAAAAAATACGAATGTTAAAAGTGCTTCTAGTGAGGCATCAGTAGGGAATGGAGGTGGGGGATCCCTGCGTGGCTCAGTGGTTTAGTGCCAGCCTTAGGCCCAGGGTGATCCTGGAGTCCTGGGATTGAGTCCCACATCAGGTTCCCTGCATGGAGTCTGCTTCTTCCTCTTCCGGTGTCTCTGCCTCTCTCTCTCTCTCTCTGTGTGTCTCTCATGAATAAATAAAATCATAAAAAAAATAAAAAGAAAAAAAATAAAAAAGAGGTGGTATTTACTGGACACTAAAGAAAAAAGAAAAAGTGATTTTTGTAATAAAATGGCAGAGAACTTGCTGAATTATGTTCTACTGCTGGTTGGCTACTAATAAAAAAATAATAACAAGAGTTGGTAAGGAGGGGAAGAAACCAGAACCCTCACGCACTGCTGGTGGGAATGTACAATGGTGCAATCTGGCAGTCTTTCACAAGGTTAAACACAGAGTTTACAATATGACCCAGCAATTTTACTCCTACATATACACCCAAGAGGAATGACACATCCATACAGAAACCTGCACGTAAGTGTTCACAGCAACATTATTCCTAATAGCCCCAAATGCAACCCCCCCAAAAAGCTCAACCACTGATAACTAAATATGTCATGTGGTATATCCATATGACAGGATATGGGGCAATATAAAGGAATGAAGCTCTGACCCACGCTACCACATGAATGGACTCTAAAAATACGGGCAGCCCCGGTGGCTCAGCGGTTTAGCACAGTCTTCAGCCCAGGGCATGATCCTGAAGACCCACGTCGAGTCCCACGTCGGGCTCCCTGCATGGAACCTGCTTCTCCCTCTGCCTGTGCCTCTGCGTCTCTCTCTCTCTCTCTTTCATGATTAAATAAAATCTTTAAAAAATAAATGCTAAGTGAAAGAAGCCAGTCACAAAAGACCCCATAGTGTATGATTCCATTTATATGAAATATCCTCACTAGGCCAGTCCATGGAGTGGTAGATTAGTGGTAGCCTAGGGCTGGGGGAAGGGGTTGCAGGAAACAGAGGGATAGCTATGGTCAGGGTTTCATTGGAGTAATGAAATGTTCTGAAATTGATTGCGGTGGTGGTTGCACAACTGTGTGAATATACTAAAAACCAGTGAATTGTATGCATTAGGTATATGAACCATATGGTATGTGAATTATTTCTCAATAAAGCTGGTATTTTTTTAAAAAGAACAAATAAGGCTGTGAATTGTGGATTGAACAAAGAACAACAAAAAAATCCCAATGTTGAAATAAAAGGCTAGCCCAAGGCTGTTTACCAGAACCCAGGAAAAGAACAAAGATAAAGAAAGATGATGAATAGATCACAGATATTAGAATAGCTTCCAAACTCAAAAGATAAAGAAGAGAATCCACCAGCATCTAGGAAAATAATCAGATCAACTATAAAGGAAAAAAAACTGGGGTGGCCTAAGGCCTCTGTGCAAAACCCAATGCTAGAGCCGTATCCGAGTCCCTGCAGGGCAGACAGTGGCATCCACGCAGGCTCAGGAAAACCAAGGAAGCATGGCTGCAGGTCTCCCACAACTCCCAGGAGCCACCACTGATGGGAGCCTACAAAATGGTCAAAGGGGCTATGAGATGAGTCACTGAAAGTGTTTGCCTTCTTCATTTTTTTTTTTAAGATTTTATTTATTTATTCATGAGAGACATACACACACAGAGGCAGAGACACAGGCAGAGGGAGAAGCAGGCTCCATGCAGGGAGCCTGACGTGGGGCTTGATCCCGGGGCTCCAGAATCATACCCGGGGCTGAAGGTGGCGCTAAACCGCTGGGCCACTGGAGCTCCCCCATGCTTACTCTCTTAAAGAGCTCACCAATTCTCCCCCAAACTTCCTTCTTCCGCTCAGTACATATTTCTTGAGCACCTACCATGTGGGATACAAGGTAGATACAGTTCTTGCCCTCACGTGACCCAGAACCTTTCCCGGGGGCTGGAAAGCTGGAATCGTCCTGGATGCTTATCTTCTTCTCACCCCAACCCTCAGTTATCACTTCTATCACCTCACCATGTCGGTCCTCAGCACCTGGCCCAGTTCCTACCACGGGGCAGGTTCACTTAAATACTTGAATAAATGAATAAACAGCCTGCAAATCTATCCACTTCTCCCTCTTGCACTGCTGCCAGCCAAGTTCCAGATGTCATCACCTTACCAGGCCACTGCAAACGTCCCTCACTGGTCTCCCTTCTCCAGCCTGTCCCCCTATCTCACCCAACAAAACCATTCTCTACGCCAGCTGGGGTGACCTCTCTACACTTCAAATCTGATCTTATTACCAGCTTAAACTTCAGGCAATGGTGGCCTAGCTGGCTTCAGAACCACCCTCCAGAGAGAGCAACTAGAAAAGCCAGACTGAAAAAAAATTTAAATCTGTTTGATAGTATCATAGAGCTACAAGGTAGAGAGGCCAAAAGGGGCCAAGGTCTTGGAGAAAAGGAAACCCAAAGAGGTGAACCTGATACATGGCATCATTTCTTCCTTCGGGGTTTTGTTGCTTTGAAAGTGGCAGTTAAAAGGATGAGATATAAATTTTTAAAAAACCTTTAAAAAGGGGGGTGGGGATCCCTGGGTGGCTCAGCGGTTTGGCGCCTGCCTTTGGCCCAGGGCGCAATCATGGAGTCCCGGGATCGAGTCCTGTGTCAGGCTCCTGGCATGGAGCCTGCTTCTCCCTCTGCCTGTGTCTCTGTCTCTGTCTCTCTCTCTCTATGTCTATCATGAATAAATAAGTTAAAAAAAATCTTTAAAAGGATGAGATGGGGGATGGGGTGGGGAAGATGAGTGACGGTGGTTAAAAGGTACAAAATTCCAGTGATAAAATAAGTAAGTCTTGGGAATATAACATACATCATGGTGACTACAGTTAATAATACTTTGTCATATATTTGAAAGTTGCTGAGATTAGATTTTCAAAGTTCTCACAAGAAAAAAAAAGTGTAACTATGGGAGGTGACATACGTTAACTAAGCTTGTTTTAGTAATCATTTCATAATATATATGTATACCAAGTCATCATGTTGCACCCCTAAAACTAACACAATGTTACCCATCTATCATATCTGAATAAAACTGGGGCTGGGGCATGGAGGAGGAAAAGCCAAGCAGGAAGTCAGGACTGAGTGGACAGAAGCCTGGACAAGCTGGCAGCAATCTTGGGCTGAGGGGACAAAAGAAGAAGCGTGCACTCACAAGTTTTTCCATCAGAACTTTCAAGGCTACATTCTCGGAGATGGAAGACTTGAAAATAAAAAAAAAATAAAAAAAAAAAAGGAAGACTTGAAAATCTAGTGGCCTCTATGAAGGTCAAAATGCAGCTCTGCAATTGCTCTATCCCTAAGTAGACTAAGGTAACCTACCACAACTGGCTGCCCAAAGTAAAAGTTTCTCTCTCTGGAGAGAGAAAACATTAACCCAAGCCAAAATTATCTCCAACACTGTTCATCCAAAACGTCTGGCTCCCCATCAGAAATTGGCAGTGTATCCAGGACGCCTGGATGGCTCAGTGGTTGAGCGTTTGCCTTTGGCTCAGGGCACGATCCTGGATCATGTCCCACATCGGGCTTTCTGCATGGAGCCTGCTTCTTCCTCTGCCTGTGTCTCTGCCTCTCTCTCTCTCTCTCTCTCTTTGTCTCTCATGAATAAATAAATAAAATCTTAAAAAAAAAAAAAAGAAAAAGGTAGGCCATCCAACAGGGGAAGAAAAAGAACACAAGACCTCATAAAAGATATCTAAATGGCCAAGAAACAGAGTGAAAAATGGCCACAATTAAAACACTGTGATACCCTAAGTGGTACTTAACATAAAAGTAGGTGAAATAAGCCAACAGGGAAAAGATAAATGGGTGGTTATAGGTAAGTGAGATCAGATTTAAGGCTTATGTTAGAATGCCAAAAGAAATTCCAGTTGACTGGGGTGCCTGGGGGGCTCAGTCAGTTGAGCATCTGCCTTCCACTCAGGTCATGATCTCAGGGTCCTGGGATGGAGCCCTACATCGGGCTGGGCTCCCTGTTCCGCAGGGAGTCTGCTTTTGCCTCTTCCTCTGCCCTCCTCTCTCTTCCCCACCATGTGCTCTCTGTCTCTCAAATAAAATCTTTAAAAATTTTTTTAAAGAAAAAAAATAAATTCTGGTTGGTTGAGATAGTTAAATTCAAAAGAAGGGAAAGGGGGCATCTGGGTGGCTCAGTGGTTGAGCGTCTGCCTTCGCTCAGATCCTGATCCTGGGGTCCTGGGATTGAGTCCCGCATAGGGAGGGGAAGGAGGAGGGGAAGGAAGGAGAGGAGGAGGAAGAGAGGAAGGAAAGAAGACAGGAGGGAGGAATCCAATTCCTAAAACCTGAAGGAAATTGGAAGAGTGAGCTCTCCCAAGCCTCAGCACAGGTGCCCTGGCTGAGCGCAGCCATGCCCAGGAACACAGGGCTGTGGAGGACAGCAGAGGGCACAGATGGTAAGCAAGCAGAGCCAGTGAGCGCCCAGGAGGGCGGGAGCCAGGACGGTGAGCACCTGAATTCCAGGCAGCAGTGGGCAGCAGAGGGCAAGGGCAGGGACAGTGAGCAGACAGGAATTGTGAGCCCCAGGCAGTGGAGGTTTGGGATTGGAGGTGAAGGGCAGTGGAGGGCAGGAGCAGTGATTACCGCATCGATCTCGTTGAGGACCTTCCACTGCTCATAAGGCACACCCAGGGCCTCAGCTGTCTGGATGGTCCTCTTCATCTGGCTCGTCCAGACCTTCAGGTCCTTGATGTTCTGATCACGGATGAACTGGGCCAGACTCTTAGCAAACTGAAATGTATCAGAAGCAAATTCAGACACACAGATCCAAGGTTGTCTTCAAGGGACCCTGAAGCCACAGGGCCCAATGGATGGTGTCATGCCCATCTAGCCTCTGAGAGCACAGAGAACAGACCTCATGAGAACCTCATGAGAACAGACCTCAAGTGCTGTTCTTATACATTCTCTCCAGACCCTCTGTGTAATTCCAGTTGTCGTTCCAGTTCCATCATTATGTCTCCTGCCATTGCCCACCATGTGTCCTGGACCCTATGACCTCCCTACAGAGGCTTCAATATCTCCCCTGGACTGTGGTGTGGCTATCAGCTACACTGCAGACACTTGGGTCACTCCTATAATGGCAGGCCTCTTCAGGGAAAGGGGCCCAGCTGGTGACAGCTCATATGAAAGCCAGAGAGCCTAGCTTGGTGCTTGGTGACTTTCCAAGTTCCTTTACATGACAGGAACATTCCAGACTGAATGAAGGTCATCCATCTTGATTACAGAGTAGCTACAAGAGCTAGAGCCCAGGCCCATTGGACACACACATACATGCACCCAGCTGCCCAGGAGTACCAATGCGCAGCTCCCCCTACAACCCTGGATGCTAGTGCAGCGCGTGTGCGCGCGCGTGCACACACACACACACACACACACACACTGACCTCCCTGCCCCGGGGGGACAGTCCCGGGTCCCCGCCAATCCGGCCCTTGAGGTTGAGCTCACTCTCCCCATGCCGGCAGAGGTAGATGGAGCGGGGGGTCACATGGATATTCATGAGGTAATATACGATACGGCTCTGGATGTGATCAGCCACACGGTTTACCACATAGCTCTGCCCCACGTCCATGATCTTGATGTAGGACAGATCCCTTTGCAGAGAGAAGGTAGAGAAAGACCTATGAGTGTGACTTGGCCCTCGAGGGCTTATCCTGCCAGCCATAGGAACTAGCTGCAGAGCTGTGCATTTCTGACCACCAGAGTTGAGATCACAACACACAGGACCAGCAGCTGGTATGCAAGTGACAGGGGTGAGGAGGCAGTAACACATGTGACATCCAGACAAACCCCATGAGAGGTGCTCAACACTTGTCATGTTTCCAAAAGGTGACATCCAAAGCACAGGGTCAGTAATACACATTGTGACTTTCACTGCTGCTGTGTCCCCCGGACCCCGCTTACCTACCTCCGAGCTTTCAACGCACAGTCTGTAAGGTAAATAAGAGATAGTTTTTTTCCAGGATTGACCTGGGGGTAGCTGGCAAACGCTCTTCCCCTCTGCTTCCCTGGCCAGCCACCCCTGCCCCTGCCTTTCCTTGCTTCCCCCTGTAACCCAGCTCAGCCGCTTCCCTTGGTTGCTTATTTGCTCGGGCTGGGCAGCATGGTGGTTGGGAGGACACGCTCGCCTCGCTCATCTGCTTATGTTTACTGGGTGTTGGGGAGGCAGCAGGAGGAAAGGCGGAGTTTCTCAGGCAAGTGTTCTGGGCTGGCCCAGGATGGCCCTTCTGTATGTTCTCATCTGAGTTCTCACTGTCTGGCCCCAGGGCATGGGTTTAGTTTAGGGTTGTTACATCAATACCAATAAAAACAGCAGCCCCATTCACTAAGTGAGGAATCCAACAGAAGCTGCCCCAGTAAGCCTCTCTCGTGCAATCACATAACAGAACCATGAGGAAAACCACTGTCCTGGGGTGACTGGAGAAACATAAAATACCACAGTGGCCCAGGCAGTGGGTGGCAGCTGGCTTGAGCTGGCCACAGAGCCTGGCCAAGGAGACTCAGCCAGTGTAGGAATTACTCTGCAAAGACCCAGAGAAATCATTCCTCTTCCAGGCACTTGTTCTCCTGGGCTCGTAGGCAGTAGATGTTCTCATGTTGATTATACAGGACCCTCACCCAAGTTTATATTCCAGCCTTTCATTTAACACTATGTAACTTACACTGTCCCACGTGTCTTCGCTCTGAGTTGTGACTATGCAATACTTTACCAAGGGGCCACAGTATTACTTACTTAACCACTGTCCCCACTTACGCTGTTATACAGAAGCTGGCGAACTATGGCCAACAAGTCAAATTCAGTCAGCATCCTGTTTTTGTAAATAAACTTTTATTGGGACTTGCTCATTTGTTGACATATTGTCTATGTTTCCTTTGCACTACAATGGTGGAGTTAAATAGCTCAACACAAACTGTATGTTCCTGAAGCCTAAAATATTTGCTACCTGACCCTTTACAGGTAAAGTTTGCTACTCTAAGAGCCTCAGCTGAATACCCCTTGTGGGCCTAAAGACCCCTCCCCACCCAACACTTCCTCCTGCTGGGTCTGCCATTCTGGAATGGGCCACATGGGCCACTGCCAGCTATGCATAGACAGGATCTGGGCACTCCTTCCCCCTCACCCCCACCCTGGCTCAAAACACAGACTACAAATTTAAAGAACATGTAATGCTTGCAAATGCCTTGCAGGAAGACCTTCTACATAGAAATTAGGCTTGATTTTATAAGGCAATAGCAGAAAATTCTTTCTTTCTTTCCTTCTTTCTTTCTTTCTTTCCTTCTTTCCTTCTTTCTTTCTTTCTTTCTTTCTTTCTTTCTTTCTCTCTCTCTCTCTCTCTCTCTCTCTCTCTCTCTCTCTCTCTCTCTCTCTCGTAAACTCTACACCCAATGCAGGGGGCTTGAACTTATGACCTTGAGATCAAGAGTTGCATGGAAAAACAGAAAATTCTGGCTTGCGGAGTTCCACATAAGGTAATAGGGGTTCTCCAAGTCACCTCTGGCCCACGATTTCTGCCCGAAGGAAAGAAACAGGGTCAGACCATCTCTGCCAGTTGGGATGGCCCCTAAGCCACCACCACGGCAAGTCACAAGGAAGCAGCCAAGAGGGGACCCTCACCACCCACCATCATAGTTGCAGGACATGGTGCTCTCCTCACTCACCTGTCAAGGTCCTCATCCAGTGACTCATACGAATTCTCATAGCACTCAATGCGCCGCATGAAATCTTCCGTGGCCTCATCACTATCATGGTTCACATAGTCAGGGCTGCCCAGTTTCACTTGCTGCCGAACCAGGCACAGAGCAAGGACACATCAAGGTTGGCAGCCAGGCCGGGCCAGAGACCAAGGAGACTGCTGGGCGCGGGACGGGGGAAGGCTAGGCCAGAGGCCAGGACAAGACTGGGGGTGTGAGGCTGGAGGCCAGTCCCAGGAGACTGGAGGCCAATCCCAGGAGACTGGTTCCACTAGGAAGAGTCCAGCAGTTCCCTGATTTTAGTTCCCACGCTAGTGTGCCAACAGAATATTACTGGGGAGCCTAAGATTGGCGTCCTTATCTTTGTGGCACAGGGGGAGGTGAGGCCAGAGGGGCAAGGGGCTTAGAAGCCTCTTCCCACCTGAACCATCTCCCCAAACCCAGATGTTCATTCCTTGGATAAACAGGGGGTAGGGGAGAGAAGTTGAATCTCTTTCTCTTTCAAAATATGAACATCACTTCCTACCCCCCATCTCCAGAGGCTGAAGCTGCATTCTCACTGTGCAGGGAATTATGAGGGGGAAGAGAGGGGAAGGTAAGACGAGGGAATATGAATGAATGCCACCTGGTGACACAGCCTTCTACCCAAGTGGTCCTTGGGAGTCTCTGATCACCTGACTCCTGTGTTGTACTGCCTCCCCTCTCCTGCCCCCAAAGTTCAAGAAGACCAAATCAGGGCCAGCCTAGGCACCAGCCCAAACCTGGAGAAGGACCTCGCTGTCATATGCTCCCTCAGCTATGTTACTGCCCCCACAAGGTCAGGTATACCACTCACCACGATGTTAGCAGCTATGACCTCAGGATCCACACAGATGGACTCCACAAAAAAAGTCTGTGGCAAGGACAAGGCAGGCAGGACAGAAGGAATCACAGATACGTTCAGGGCACTGGGCCTGGGTCCACGGAGTTTCCCCCTCACGTAGGGCCAGGGTGACCCCAAGAGGGTGAGGGCAGGATAGAGAAGCCCCGACCCAAACCAGGTGCCACCCCATCTAGGATTCTCCCACAATGCACACCTTCCCAGAAAGAAAACCCCAGATGGAGAGGAAATAGCAACCCCTAGATCCCACATCCATTCTGGAGCCCCCTGGCCTGATGCCCACGCACATCAGGAGGCTGTAAGAGGGTTGGTCCCCAGAGGGTCTGAACATGCCACAGCCCAACCAAGGAGGTGAGCCAAAGACACCTCACCTTGTAGCCATTCTGTTCTCCAAAATTAAAGATGGTTGCTCTCCGTTCTCGGGTGGTATTTGTTGCATCGAAAACCTAGGACCAAACTGGGTTAACTGGGACTCTGGCCCTGGAGCAGGGGGGAGACCAGCCAACAGTGGCTGCACAGGGACCAGATTTCTCACAGGGACCAGCTGGTGCCCAGGCCACCCACCCGGCTGGTCTCCTTTAGACCTGCAAGGGCTGAGCTAGGCCTCCCCTTCCTTGAGGAACACGCCTCAAGGAAGCTGGAAGGGGAGGGGCCTGTGCTCCCAGCATGGCGGCAAACCCTTGGCACATGGGACGGCAAACCCTTGGCACATGGGGCACACTAAGCACTGCCCCACGTGTGGCGGGCACGCGCTTCATGCTTGACCACCATGACTTCCTGTAAAACCAGTTAAACATGGAGAGCGGAACCACGGTTTATTTCCACTCCATCCTGAGACTCCACTAAAATGGGAAAAGAAAAATAAAGAGAATGGGAGAGGAGATATCAATAAAATTCTGGTGACTGACTCAGAGAAATAGAGAAAACTAAACACAAGCCCTCACCCACCAGAGCACACCCACCTGTGCAGAAGCAGGAGAGTCAGGAATGGGTGTCAGGTGTCTCTGAGAAAAGGGACAAGTGCGCAGAGGAAAAAGGAAGACTGCCTGGTGGTACAACAAAGAGCAGATAGAGCCCCCACGCCCTCTCCCTGCCTTACGAGGCCAGGGGCCCACCTGGGGCTCCCCAGGAAATGCCCACAGCCTGTCCATGTGCTCTCAGGGGTAACCCACTCGCCTGCATGTCTAGAAGCAGCTTCCAGAGCTGCTTTTAAGCAGCTTCCAGAGCTTTTTAAAAGGGCCTTCAACCAGGGCTCACTGGATGCTTCAGCAAAACTTCTAACATGAAAAACAGAGACTAAAAAAAATAAAAGGAACTTTGAGAAAATGAAGACAGAGCATAGAACAGAAAGTAGTGTCAAAAAATAAACAAACCTTACAACTGTTATCTAAAGGGAGATACAAAATACTGTAAGTAACCATGAAACAAAAAGAGTTCTGAAAAATTGGAACACTCCGAGAATAAGAAATTTAGAATTTAGAAATTAAAATGTGATCACAGAAACTGTTTGAAAATGCAACCAAATGCTTGTAAGATAATATTGAAAAAGTCTCCCTGAAAGTTGAACAAAAATGGGATGCCTGGGTGGCTCAGCGGTTAAAGCGTCTGCCTTTGGCTCAGGGTGTGATCCCCAAATCCCGGGATCATGTCCCACATGGGGCTCTCTGCAGGAGCCTGCTTCTCCCTCTGCCTGTGTCTCTGCCTCTCTCTCTCTCTCTCTCTCTGTGACTATCATAAATAAATTAAAAAAAAAGTAGAACAAAAATGATAGAGATAGGAAATAAGGAAAGAAAAAGATAAAGATTAGGGCTCAAGCCCAGCATGAAGCCACCAGAAGTTCTAGAAAAAAAAAAGAAAAAAAAAAAAGCTCAGAAAATGGGAGTGGAGCAGAGAATCAATTGTCAGAAACTGGTAGGGGTGGTTTATCAAAGTAATAATACATGAGAATCTTCCTGACCTGTTAGAAAAGAGGTTCCCACTGGAAAGGGCCACCTTGGGACCCACCATGGTGAAGATGAGCCACCACAATGCCCTAAATTTCTTTCCCAGAGAAAAGGGCAAGAGCAGCCCCAGTTCCCTCTAAGAGATGAAACTTTTAGGAAGATCAGCAAATCAGAATGCCATCAGATTTTGTCACAGCTACTCTGGAAGCCATAATACAACAGAGAGATGCTGTAGAAATTCTAAAGGAAAAATACTTCCCACCTATACCCAACCATCAACTATGAGGATACAGAAGGACATTTCCAGACATGCAAAGTCTCATGCAAGAACTTCCCAAGTACCTTCCTCAGGAAGCCACTGGAGGATGCACTCCAGTAAAACAAGTCAGTAAACCAAGTAAAAAGAAGACATGGGGTCCGAGAGCAGGGCTTCAACCCAAGAGCTGGGAGAAGGGAATTCCCAGGGTTCCACACACCGAGAAGTTGATCGATCCAGACAGAGCTGGGAGAGTAAGGGCTCCTGGAGGCATGCCTCCACAAGGAAAAGCAAATGAAAAAGCGGCTCCTGTGTTTGACTGCATAGGGTTAGGGTAGGGGCCTTTCCCAGAGGCACCCGTGCTCAGCTTTGTCCCACTCATCCATCTGACAGGAGGGGCCAACACACAGCTGGAATTCCATTGCCCAGGATTCAGCTGGTTCCCAGAACAGTCACTAAATGTGGGGCAGGATTCTCTCCACCCCAGGAGAAATCACATTGGCTAAAGACTTAGGTAACATGATAGCACATGTGATGACCAACAATGTGAGTATTTGGAAGGAAGTCCTACAGGGTCAAATGCAACCACAAGCCCAGAAGGAAATTCCCAGCACACATCCAGCCTCCTCCTATGTAGTAGTGGCTGCAGACTTCCTCCCAGGGCCCGGCAGTCAGGGCCACACACCCTGCCTTCCCTTCCAGGTTCCCGATGAGCAAAGGGCTAGCGATATATAGGCTATCACATGTCACTACCAGAAGTCACCATGATGTTACACTCACCGCCACATGTCCCCCCTCCTCACTAAGGAACCGCCGGACATCACAGAGGGCTGCCAGGGCACACTGCCTTCAGAAGAGAAAACACAAACACACACACAAAAAAAAAAAAAAAAAAAAAAAAAAGAAGAAGAAGAAGAGAAAACACAGGGTCAGCCCAGCACCCAAACCCAGCTGCAGGAGGGCAGTAGATCAGAGATACATCCTACCCCAGATAGGAGAGGGCCCAGTCCCTGGAGCCCCTTCTCTTTTCAAGGTTTCTCTTTCCTTGAGGTCATTTTCAGTGCTTTTTGCCAATTCTGATCCTCTAAGTGAAAGGCTATATGCTTCTGGTCCCTGGGAATATTTTTTTAAAATACCACTTTTCTGGGACGCCTGGGTGGCTCAGTGGTTAAAGCGTCTGCCTTCAGCTCAGGGTGTGGTCCTGGAGTCCGGGGATGGAGTCCCTGGCATCGGGCTCCCTGCATGGAGCCTGCTTCTCCCTCTGCCTATGCCTCTGCCTCTCTCTCTCTCTGTCTCTCATGAATAAATAAAATCTTAAAAAAAAAAAAAAGTAAAATTAGATCTCCTTCCATTTGTTTGGTCTTCAGATTTTGTACATAAACCCCCAGTGCATCCAAGGACTGTGCTATCGGGGCTTTCACTGGGCCAGACCAGGCCACCGTGCCCAAGCATGGAGGCACAGGCCAGGCAGAGCAAGGGGCAGCCTGCTGGGGTCATGGGGAAATTGGTGGCAGAGCTGAGTCCAGGTCCCTGGAAGAAGCTCTGCTCCTAAGCCTCCTTGTGACCTATCTGTGCCCCACAGAAGACCCCACCCAGTGGGTCTTTCAGTTAAAACTTTATTTTTTTTTTATTTTTTTTTTATTTTTTATTTATTTATGATAGTTACAGAGAGAGAGAGGCAGAGACACACACAGGCAGAGGGAGAAGCAGGCTCCATGCACCGGGAGCCCGATGTGGGATTCGATCCCAGGTCTCCAGGATCATGCCCTGGGCCAAAGGCAGGCGCCAAACCGCTGCGCCACCCAGGGATCCCTCAGTTAAAACTTTAAAGAGCTTTCTTCTTCCCCCAAAAAACCTGAATTCTGAGACTCCAGGAAACTGGCATTGCTGGAGCCATTTCTAGCCACCCACATCAAGGACCATGTTTTGGGCTAAGATCTGTGGGTTGCTCTGGCTGAGGAAGCACCATGTAAGAGGGGGATCAGGGTTCTAATGGAGATGTGGAAGGTATAGCCTGGGACCCTGAGTGTACGGGCGTATGAGCATGGGGCAATCTTGTGGAACTGAGCCCTTAACCTGGGCAGACTGATGCTAACTCCAGGTGGACAGTGTCAGAACTGAACTGTTAGCGACACATGCATGCACCCATGGGTGTGCATGTGCCTGCCCACAGGTGTGCATAGGTGCTCATGTGTGGTAGGAGACTGAGAGCATGAGTATGTGCCTTATGGTGTGTGTGTATACGTGACCAGCACGTGCACATGTGACTGCGCACACCCTTTCCTGGATCTTCCCAGTGTCAGGGACAGACATCAACATCGTGTAGCTCCAGGAACCTCAACAATGTATGATCACCTAGGTCTCTGGGGAATCTAGCCTTTTCTTTTACCAACTATCTGCAAGACATTTGGGGCTGGTCATTGGGAAATGGTCCTGAAGCCCTGGGGCCAGACCCAGACTTTAGATCCAGGAGGGAAGGTTTCTAGGAATAGCCAGAGGGTGTGCCTACAGAGAGGCACATGTGAACCTGCCCCTAGCTTCTCCTGCTGGGGCCTCTGTTCCAGCTGGGTGACCCTGATCTAGCCCCCCAACTTCCCCAAGTCTGGGTTTCCCCATCTGAATTAATCCCAATACTCCTACCTTCGATAGGAGCCTAAGCAGAATTACTAGTGAGCCCCAGGGGTGCCAGCTTCCTTATTCTTCCCATAAACACTTTGGATTCAAACAGACCTGGCTTCAAATTCAAACTCAGTGTGATCCTACACAGGCCCATCACTTTCAGACCTCACCTCCGAATACGGGGGAGTGAGGTGACACAACGCCTGCCCCACTGCAGGGAAGAGCCAGTAAGCTAGCCAGTGCCCATAGCATGAGGTAGTTGTAGAATTTGCATTTGATACAGCCTCTGATCTACTAATTGCATAACGCTAGAAAGATGAACACAACAGTTTTTAGTGGTATGGGCTTAGATTCAAGTCTGGGCTCTGTGAAATAACTTGTTATCTTGTGTGAGACTCCTGAGCCTCAGCTTCCTCATCTGTAAAATGGGAAGAGGAGTGACAATCGGGCATCATGCACAGCAGGAATTCAAATATCAGTCCCCTCCCTTTGTCTGGGTCACTGGATTGCCCAGCCTCAAGTTTCACACACAATTCGGCCACAGGCCTGAACATCAGACTCCCCTTCCCTTTTGGGTGCAGCCACTTGGCCCAGCCCCACTGACCCAAGAGTCAACACTGGGGAAAGACCACGCCCCACACTGGGGAGCTCTTGCCCCCTGGTGGCCAGAGACAGAGCAGGCTGCCTAGGACCCAGGCCTGGGCAACAATCTGGCAGCTTCTGGCCTGGAGCTCTTCTTGATTAGGGGAGCTCACTAGAGCTGGGCCAACCTCTGCTAAATGCCCTCCCACCATGGCTGAACCCAGAGCAAGCACAAGGAAGCTTCTTGATCCCTCAGCTGACACCTGCCAAAAAGACCACAGCAGAGATCCTCAGACAGCCAGCGGGTGCTCCTGGTTCAAGTCTGAATAGGGCGGGGAGGGAAGGAGGTAGGGTGTCATATGCAAATTCCCATCTCACAAATGTGAGCAGGAGGGTGAAGTCTGAGCCACAGGAAAGCGAAGCCAAGGCCTGTCCTACACGTGCCAAAAATATGCCAAGCACATGCCAAACATGCTCCAAATATACAGTTTATCCTGGGGCAAGGGAAGGAAGGCTGCAGCTCTGGGCTCCATCCTCTTAGCTTTGGAAGAAGGTGCCAGGAGGTAGGCCCACTCTCACTCTGCCTCATCTCTGAGGACTGTGTCCCTGCACCCACTCACCCCCCCTCCCTGCCACAGTCCATCCCCATGGAGCACCTGGGGTAAGCAAGTGAGAGGTCTCTGTGCAGCCAGCCCCTGCCCCGCCCTGGCTAGGTCTCCTCTATCTCTCTGAAGCCCTGTCTTCCCCTTCCATAGGACGTCCTTACTAAGGGTTCATGAGTCCTAAGGCACAGCCAGCCACCAAGAGGCCATATGCCCTCCCCACTGTCCCCTAATCCAACACATCCCCAATACCACCATATCTTGAGAGGTCAAGAGACCAGCCCTGTCACAGTCCAGTGGGGCAGAGTAAGGCCAGGGCTCAGGAGCAGCTGGGTGCCCAGGCTCCAGGGCCTTCTCTGTAAACACACATAATCACACACATATACTCACTTCCTGATTTTCAGGCCCTCTTCGTTGTCTGGAAGGAAAAACTCAAATGACTTGTATGTCTTGACCATTTCCCGGCGATACTGGCCAACGTTGAATTCTGGGGGAAAGAAAGGCTCAGCTTTCACACAGCAGCAGCCCTCCCCAGGTTCTTGACCTTGACTCACCCCAGGCTAGCCTTCTCTCTTTCCCCCTCTCCCCACAAAGCCCCAAGGCCCCTTTGGAAGCCGACGCCAAGTCTCACCTCGAGTAGGCACGCCAATCCAGTTCAGGTAGCGAGTCAGCTTCTTAGAGATGTATGTCTTGCCCCTGGCGGGCAGGCCTACCATGACAATGAGCGTTGGGCAATTGGTCATGCAAACTGAAAGACAAGGAGCTGGTGTCAGATAAGGGCTGGGATGCCTCCGAGGGTGCCCCTCCCTCTGCTCCTGTCACAGGATATCAGACACACCTTCCAGGCCTCCTGGCCTCAGACCCTGGTCTCAAGCCACCACTGGCATGTCCCTGCTGCCCAGGCCTGTCTGGGCTCCAGTAGATGTAGCAGAATCTCACCAGCCCCTTATCCTGGTGTGCACGGCAGATATAAAGCTGGACCTGCCACACCCCTGAATGAACATGCAGGACAAGAGCCAAAGCCCAGGGGATATTCGACACCCACCTATTATCGGGGAATCCACACCCCACCCGTGCAGCCATTCAGCATTCCTGATAGCACAGTACCACTCCTTACCCTCCCAGTTGGGAATTTCGCCTCACTGTGTACAAAGCCCAGCTCATAAGCTGCTTCTTCAGTGAACCCTTCCTCCCAGCCACCTCTGCGCTGCCCTGGTGCACTCTCTCTCTCAATCCCGGTCATCTCGCCCATGAGTTGGTCCCCTGCACCTGACCACGTGGAGCATAGGCAGCCCCGCAGGATCTGAGCTGTTTGGGAACATGAGGTCTGGCACAGAGATGGTGCTCAAAAATTATGGGGAAGGGAGTGGCATCTCGAAATCCCCCAGGGTGAGTGCCACCAGGGGCTGAGGCCAGAGACCCAGAGCAATGTCCACAAGGACTGTCCCTCTGACAGCCCACCCTCCTCCATCCCATGGGCCACCAGCCAGAGAAGCTGCCAAGGTCGGAGGCAGGGACATGTCTGGACAGCACATCCCCAAACCCTGGCCTACCAGGACAGACACCAAGGCAGCCGAACTACCAGCCTCACGTGACTCAGCTCTGCTTTCAGTCAGCCTCACCTCAGAAACCTTAGGAAGCTTTCCTTTCCTCGTCCCCAGCACCTGGGCCACAGACAGACGGCCGATGTGGGGAACCCCAGGGCTCTCTACAAGGGCCTTCTCCTGGTAGTCCTTCCTGGACAGACTGCTGGGTCCCAACCCTCAGGTTGTCTCCCTCACCGGAGCTAGAGCATAGAGGTCACAGGGGCAGCCCTTTCTGTGGGGTCAGGAGTCAGGTCTAGGTTCCTATCCTGATCCTGACAGCTCCTGGCAACTCTGAGCCTTGGTGTCCTCACCCGTAAAATGGGATGATGATCAACCCCCAGTGAGGCCTTGCACTACCTCCATGTAAAAGCCAAAGCATGTCTGGGAAGCCATGCCTCTGCCCAGCCCTGGCAGGATACCTGCTAAGGACGCAGGTGCACCTTAGCACCAACTGCCCTTGGCATGTAGGGTGCAGAAGCACCCATCTGTCTCCAGCTGGGCCCTGCAGAGAGGTAAGGGGACCCACTTGCCAGTGTGGGCTCCGTTGCTCCTGTACATGACCTTTGGGCAAAGGTGACCCAAACTATGAGCCTCGGGGGAGGGAAGGAGAGGATCCCACGGAACACAGGCTGACAGTGAACAAGAGAGAACTTGCAGAAAAACCTCAGCATTGGCTAAGGTGAGAGAAAAGCAAGTTAGGCAAGGCCCTGCGTCCTGAGGGCCAGTGACACTGGGGCCTGTACCGTTTGCACAATTGCTGGCTGGGGCTCTCAAGCAACCAAAGGGCAGTGAATCAGCTACTAAGCATGGGGGAAACCTGCACACTCAGCCTGCTCACTCCTCCCCACAGCCCCCTGAAGGGCTCTCCCATGACCTCAGGAGTAGGGTTCTACACCTTCTCTTCACATCTTCTATCTTCCCAGAGACACCCCAGCCTCCTCTCCCACTGTTTGGTGACAGGATCCCCTGGCCCCATGCACAGCCACTGTGGGCAGGCAGGGCAGTAAACCAGGGCTGGGTGCAAAACAGCAGCAATAAATTACCTATCATCTCTGTTCCTCAAGATAAGCTCCCAAGGAAATGACCCAAAGAAAGGTCAAAGTACAAGAAGTGTATTTGCAATAGCTCTGCTTACAACAGCAAAACATAAGCAAGCTAGCAATAGAGGAATTACAAACTGAGGCCCACAGAGGGAATGTGCTACGGCACCTGAACAGAGCATTTGCACCAGGTGAGCTGGGTGTGTGGCCAGAACTGCAGCTCTGGGCACTCGAGAGCCTCGGCAACGAGCAACCAGGTGGCAGGACGCACCATTTAAAACAAGAGAGATTTGCCCACATGTCCATTCAACTTATCTCACTGGTTCCTCTTCCTATGAATGTGCTTATGGCCACAAGAACCCTAGGAATTAAGAGGCCAGAGACAAGCCTGGTGCTACCTCATTACCACTTTCTGGTGGGTCACCCCAGGGGCAGCCACAAGCCCTGGAGTTGGGTCCAGAACTGGTTTCCAAATTGCACCTGCTCCCACACCCTTGGGCCAGGCTGGTGAAGGGAGAACTCTTCAAAAGAAAGCAACCTGGAGGCACCTGGTTGAGCACCTGCCTTCAGTTCAGGTCGTGATCCCAGGGGCCTGGGATCGAGTCCCACGTCGGGCTCCCTGCATGGAGCCTGCTTCTCCCTCTATCCTATGTCTCTGCCTCTCTCTGTGTGTCTCTCATGAATAAATAAATAAATAAAATCTTTCATTTTTTTAAAGTACTATTTTCTTTTTTTTTTTTTTTTAAGATTGTATTTATTTATTCATGAGAGAGATATATAGAGAGAGGCAGACACACAAGCAGAGCGAGAAGCAGGCTCCATGCAGGAAGCATGATGTGGGACTCGATCCCAAGTCTCCAGGATCAGGCCCTGGGCCGAAGGCGGCGCCAAACCGCAGAGCCACCCGGGCTGCCCAAATAAAATCTTTTAAAAAAAGAAAGCAACCTGGCATCACCGTCCTGTTCAGATGGGACAGGAAAGTCATCTCTCCTACCATCCTATGCACATTCCAGTCATGTCCTTAGCCAAGTCTGGCTACCTTTTTGCTAATACAAGCTATCACAAGCACTGTCCTTCTGGCATGCTTCACGTTCTGTCTGCCCTCCAGGGCTGGTTCCTCCAGGGCTGAGCTGAGGGGTCAATGATGAAGAAGGTAACAGCTTCCAGGCCCTCATACGTAGTTCTGAACTCATGGATTGTAGGAGTGAAGAAGGCACACAGAGCCAAGCAGCCTCTGGCTCCCTCAGGAGCCAGGCACGAGATACCAAAGACAACTCACTACACAGCACAGACCAGCCATGAGCTCCACGTCCCCTTCTCTACAAAGCCCTGTGGTCAACTTCCACCCACCCCCCACCCTCAGGTCCTCACCTGTCCTTGTGGTCTTCCACCAAATTATAAATCACGCGGAACACCTGGGTGGCTCAGTAGTTGAGCATCTGCCTTTGGTTCAGGTTGTGATCCCAACATCCTGGGATCAAGTTCTGCATCGGGCTCCCTATAGGGAGCCTGCTTCTCCCTTTGCCTATGTCTCTGCCTCTCTCTGTGTGTCTCCCATGAATGAATAAATAAATATTTTTTTAATTAAAAAATCTACATGCAGAGGATAAAACGCTACATGAATACAGGCTTTGGGGACTGGAGGTGCTGCCCAGACAGGTTCGATGTTCATTCACAGCTTACTCCCTGCTATGAACTCGGGGACCCTCACTTGGGGCCCAAACCTCTATACAATCTGCAGGTCTTATCTCTGGCTTCTTGGGTACCTCCTCCTCCAAGAAACCCTCCCTATGCTGGCCCAGTCCAGAGTCTCACCCACTGCAATATGAGACAGTACTATGGCACAAGCCCCTCACAGCCATATTTTCACTGCATCCTTGGAGCTTGAAGAAACAGTCTCCTCCCCATTGGGCCTCAGCATCTTTGCCATCTGGAATGGGGGTTGGTTCAGAGCTGATGCTTCAATTCCCAACTCTGAGGTACTGAGAAGCAAAGAAGGCTAGTGACGAAATGATAGCACCACCTGCCACCACTTATCAAGCATCTCCTGTGAAGAGGCTCACAGCGGCTTCTAGGAGCAGGGATGATGACCGTCTCCATCCCACAGATGAGGAACCTGTGCCGTGGCCTAGAGGGTCAGGTACTTGTCCGAGGTCACACAGCTGGGCCACAATGCGGCTTGAGTGTTCCTGCCTTCAAAGCCGAGGCTCTGACTCCTTCCCTTCCCCTTTATGTATTAACAACAGCCATCCCCAGTTAGGACAACACAGACTGGCTAGAAACACAAGAGCAAGGGGCCTTGATCTTGGTCGCTCCAGAAAGTCTGGAAGGAGGGCTGGCTAGGATGTAGCCATTGCCTCTCAGGACTGAGTATTGACTGGAAAGCCATGGCCCAGCGCAAAGAGCCTGATCACCATCTCCACATCCTACCAGGACCTAAATTATGGTCACAGCCATGACCCACCAGAATGCCCTGCCAAAACCATGGCCAGCCCCTACCAGGACCCAGTGTAGTAAGAGATACACACAGTCTACCCACAGGACTTACATCTTGCTCAAAGCCAGGGCTCCCAGGCTGGCCTCAAAACAAAACAAGCAAGGAGCGTTCTCCCCTCCCTTATTATGCCCAAGCAGAGGTCAAGGAGTACAGGGAGATCTTAGTACATCACACAATCTCCTGATCACAGTTCTATATCTGTATCAGAAGTTGAACGAGATGTTCTCTGAGGTCTTTGCCAACTTGCAAATTCATTATAACGTTTCAGTTACTCAAAAGAAAAAAAACAACAACTTTGTTTTTCTTGGCAATAAGAGGTTGCAGACTCATTTAAGGACAAGCAGAGGGGTGCCTGTGTGGCTCAGTGAAGCATCTGCCTTGGGTTCAGGTCATGATCCCAGGGTCCTGGGATTGAGCCCTGCGTCAGGCTCCCTGTTCAGTGGGGAATCTGCTTCTCCTCCCTCTACCTCTGCCCCTGCTCGTGGTCTATCTCTCTCAAAAGGATAAATAAAATCTTAAAAAAAAAAAAAAAAAAAAAGACAAGCAGAAAGTCAAGTAAAGTGGATTAAACACCAGGATCTCAGGAAAGCCAAGTCCCTTAACAATTCCTTAACAATGCCAAGAATTTCAGTATGTCTCCTAGGTGTTTCTGTCTCCAACTTCACCATTTACCCACGACCGCACCTGGATGCATATACCCCCATGGACCCAAAGATAGGTCCATAAGGGCAGTGTTCACCCACCCTGAACACAACTGCACTTCCCTGAAATTCCTCCCAAAACTGGCCCCAGAGGTGGGTTGTCAAGGCCAAGGGGTTCCCTCTGGACCTCTGAAAGTTCTGGACTCAGAGAGGTCAAGCGATTTCCATAAAGCCAACACAGCTCAGACCTGGTCCATGCACTCTGGCCTGAAGTGAATGGCAAGAGGAGGCTCTGAATCCTCCCCCTGGCCTGACCTGGTGGGTAGAGACTCGGGTGAGAAGGGGCCGGCGCCCTCCCGGGAGGTGATGGTAACCAGACTGCGCCCCTAGCGAGAGGAGACAGGGCCACATACCTGTCTCCGCACCACCCTCCACCCCCCGCTCCGCCACACCTGTGCCCGGCCCACGACCTGTGCCTGCTCCCCTAGCAGCAGTCACGGCAGCCTCACCTGTCCCGGGTTCCCCACCTGTTCCTGGCCCCCCTTCCACGCGAGACCACTGCCCAGGCCGCCCTATCCACCCATTCCCGTGCACCACCCCCCGGTTCTCCACAGACCCCGCCTCACCACCGCGCTGGCAGGCGTGCAGAGCGGGCCGCCCATTGCTGTACGGCATCCAGATCTTCTTCAAGGGGTTCTGGGTCAATTCCCGTGGGGACGCCATACCCGGGACGCGATGAGACGGACTGCGCTGCTTCCGACCCAGCAGCCAGGCCACCTCGGGCCACTCGAGGCTCCGCCCCGGCCCCGCCCTGGCCCCGCCCCGGCCCCGGCCCCGCCCCGCCCCGAGCCGGGCAGGCGTCCGTCCGACTCCCCGCAGGCCCCGCCCCAGGACGAGTAGGCCCTACCCCCAGCGGGGAGGGCCCGGCCTCCGATCGCGCATGCCCAACTCGCCTGCCAGCCGGTTTGGGCCCGAGCAGGCCCGCCCCTGGCGCCGGCATCGAGCACGCGCATGCCCACCTCCCCACAGGTTCAAGGCCTGCATCGTGCCGACCCCGCCGGCGATGAGCGAGCCCAGCACGCCCGACTCGACCGCGCAGATTTGATCCACCTGGTCCGGGGCCTCGCTTTGCACAGCCTTGCCTCCAGGGCACTCGGGTTCCGCTCGCTGCTACGGTTGACGTCAGGGCCCCCAGGAGGGAGGGATTTGCATGCTAAGGGGCTGCGCCAGCTTGGCTCGCAGGTCTCACTTGGTCTGGATCAGCCTGGCAGCTCCTGCGTTTTGCCGCTTGTCAACTGCTGCGCCCCGCCGGCTGTGCGTCCCTGAGTCCTAGGACTCCTTCTCGCCCACCGAACCCACTGGCCCAAGCACACCGGAAAAGCTTCTTTCACCTCACGGACAGGGACATCTCAAAATTGTTTCCTCTCTTTACCTTGGCTGCTGGGGAGGCTCAGGCTAAACTCCAGCCCACCTGGAGCACGTGAGCAGGATCTTTTAACCAAGCTCCCTGGGGACTCACTGAGTCTCTTCTTCCAGGATTTCATTTTTACCAATTAAATTGTAAATTTGCATATTTTCAACATGATCCTTCCTCTCATCATCAGGAAAACAACGCGGGCATCATCAACCTCACAAGATTCTGGTATAGATTAAATGTGACAGTGTCTGAGAAATCATTCTAAAGCACATTAGCGCTATCATTTGTATTATTTATCTCCCTTCTGTCTCTAAGAATGCAGTGGAAGCAAAGGGCAAGGGAGAAAGCCAGAAGTTTAGGAACCCTGGGTCATTCTCTGTCTCCTCAGCCCAGCTTCTCCCAAATTCTATACACTTAATACCCTGGGGACCCCTTACCACTGCTCCAACCTGAGTCACACTGCCCCCTAGCGATGTCCTCCACAAACCCCCAGACAGGATCTTGGCATCCTCAGGTCCTCTCTGCCCAGTGTGCCCAGCCAGGAGCCAGGGCTAGGGACATGGAGAACAAGGCTTTGCCCAGTGCACCTCTGACCTCCATTCCACATACTTGTCTCCACCTAGCACTTCAGAGCCTGGCAAGGACTCTTAAGACAACTCTAATACAGATGTCTCGCCCACTTCACAGGAGATGAAGGTTCAGGAGGTAGAAGCTCACCTAAGTCCTCCCTGAAACTAGCTCTGGCTGCCTCCCCTGGGAGGAACGCCCTGCCCCAGAGTTGAGCACTTCCTCTTTCATCCTCTGTCTGCAGTGTCCACCCCCCACCTCATGCAGAGGCAGCTCTGAGCACACCCGTGGGCAGCTTCTGATGAGCACAATGCCCCTTACGACAACTTGCCTGCTTCCTACTTCTCCAAAGCCTGTCATACTGTTCCTGACACAGCCTTCCTGTCTGTCTCCTAGCCATTGCCAAGGCCATCCTGGGGCCACCTTGACTTCAGAGACCTTGTCACCACCCGCCCACACCCTGTCCAACCCCCCCCGCACTTGTTGCAAAGGCTACATGCTCTAGCATCCACAGACACCCAGCACTTCCTCTGGCCTGCCCATTCTCCTTCTCAGCCCTCCTGGGATGTTAGTCAAAGGCTGGGGTAAGGAGGTAGTCAGAGCAGGGCAGAATGCCAGGACCATTTCGAGGAAGCTGTCCCCACACCCAGACAGTCTGAGCCTAGCTTCCTAGGAAAAGCCGTGGCTCTGTACCTTCCACTCTTCCCCAAACAGTCTGACCCTGGGCTGACCCACGCATACCTTCCCAAGGCCCAATATCCAGTGGGAGGCCACAGGTTAACAGCAGGAGGAGTCTGGGGCTCCTCCCCAAGGCCAGAGTCTACCTCTACTCTAAGAATATTCTTCATCTCCCTGCCCATTTGTTGAATAGGAAACTGAAAGAGGGGAGCAGGGCCCAGGGTCACAGAGCCAGCCCACAGTGCAGAGTGGACTCAGATGAACCCCCAGCCTTTCAAAAACTCCCCTCCCACTTCTTCTAGATAATCATATTTCCCTCCCATACACGTGGGCTCTGGTTTGTTCCCTCCAATGCTCTCTTAGTTTTCTGCTCCCCCAGCATCAGTAGATGCCCAATAGAACAGCCAGCCTTCATGACTTTTCCTTCCTTGGGGCCATCCCAAAGTGATGGGGTGAAAAGTGTACTGGGTTGTCAGCATGCATTGGTGTGTGAATATGTCCTGCTCAGCCTCTCTGCTCCTCTATGAAACTGCCTGGCCTGGCCCTGGTTGGCTCCAGTGGTGCCCTCTGCACTGACCACCGGACCTCTCTCCCGTGTCCCTGGCTATAAAATATAGGGTGCTGAAGTCCTAGATCCTCAGTTCTCACTGCTCAAACTCTTCCCAACCTCTATGTCTGCTGGTCAGTCCTGGCCAGACTTTGCAGCATAAAGGCCCAGGGCCCTCAGCGAATGCCACACAGACCTACATGCCAGTGCATGGAAGCATGCACACAGAGCCACATGTGCACAAATACTAGCAACCCAGGCCCGCAAGGAGGAGCAGGCTGCAGCAGCCTGCTGCTCTCTACTGCCCCCCTTCCCCTTTATTTCCCTTCTTCTCTCCCCTCTGCTGCCAATGGGAGGTTCAGGGAGATCCCAGGAGTTCCAGCTTCCTCTGGCCAGTTCAAGCCAAGGATCATCCCCAGTATCTCCATGGGCCCAGAGCTCACAGAGGGTGTGAGGTTCCAGCTTAGGGATATGGAGCCATGTAACTGAGTAGCTTGTGAACTGTGGTCTCCATTTGCTGATTCCAGCTTGTTACAGGGCACACAGTAGGTGCTCAAAGTGACTCAGGGCCACCCAAAGCACACAGTAAGGGCTCAGAGAGGCTCATGACCAGGACAGAGCACACAGTAGGTGCTTAGAGCAGCTCAGGACTCACATAAGGCACACAGTAGGTGCCCTAGAAATGCTGTTTAAAGGCTAAAGCCACTTCATATGAAAAATTTCCCAAATGAGCCTCTGGGCCTCCCCAAAATGATGTGTGACCCCTGAGGGGATACCTGGACAAACACAACCCCTTGGAGGCCAGCAAAGGGCAGAGCAAGAGGGCCTCTGGCAGCTCCAGCTGGCTGTCCCTCTCTCTGGGCTGGAGGAAGAAGCTATTTATAGTTCCCCCTTGGCCCAGCCCTCCCACTCCCCTGCAAGGCGACAGTGTTCCCCCTCCTCCTTGCCACTGACAGGCTATGCCCCCTCTGAGCACCCCTACACCTAGAGAGACCCCCAACGCCCTTGCACCTCTTCCAGCACCAACCGTCTTTCCCCAATCCCCCCCACTCTCTCCCCGCCGCCCGTGCCTACCCCGCCTGCTGCTCCCTGACCCGGGGTCCGTCAGGGCGCTGCCTCCCTCCGCGCCTGTGTCCATCCTGCAAGCGATCTGGCCCCGGGGCCGCCGCCCCCTGCAGCCTGGGGCCGGGCAGCCCCGCCCTCCGGACTCGGGAGGGAGCTGCGGTGTGCCCCGTGTGGCCCCGCCCTCCCAGCCCCGCCCTGGGCCCGCCCCCCAGGGCTGCTCACAACTTGAGCGATCAACAGTGCCCCCACCCCAGACAGCCGCACTCCTGCCAGTGTGGCCTCCCTCTGCGGTCAGAGCAGTCCATAATGCCCAGGGTCTGCCCTTGTCTCCAACCGGAGCTGTCTACACTACCTAGAGTTTCTGTCCCATCTGCAGGCAAGCCTGTCCACACCATTCAGAAGGTCACTTCCCTCTCCAGCCCAGCCATGGAGCTGGGGGTGTGAAATTAGGGAAAACCCACTCTCTCTACACCAAGGGACCAGGTCGGTGAAATGCGGCAGTGGTTGGGGGCCAGGGGGTGGGGAGTAGGCAAAGGGGCTGTGTAGCCAGACTGTCACTCTCTGGGTGCATAGTACTGTGATTCTCGTTCATCCCATTCTCCAGTCACTGCATTTATTGAGCTCTTTCCTACATGCCAGAACCTTCATGTACACGTCACTTGGTGCTCACAAGAAGCCTGGTGGCATGGCTCTGCCCTACCAAGGAGAAAGCCGAGGCTTGGAAAGGTGAACACATTTGCTGCAGACAATTTGATGAAGGATGAGCAGAGCTGGGTTGGAGCCCCAGCAGCTGGAGCCACATGTATCCAAGGGCCACAGCTGGGTGTGCAGGCGTGTGGACAGTGCCTGGCTGTGTAGGACAGTGCCTGGCTGTGCATTGGGCATGCTTCATGCTGGTCTGGGGATAAGCATCTGTTCCTCACAGCCCCCTCACATGCCCTCACCTTGCCCACAGACTCACAACTATCAGATACACAGAGACACAGCCACTCCTGCATGCATACACCTACCACAAGGCTGCCACAGCTACAGATTTCTCACCTACGGCTCTCCACACCTAGAGATGCCCCTGGTGACCCCATTCATCTGAGGCAGGTGCTGCCTTGTGGAGCACAAAACATGCATATGACCCTCAGCCTGCACTTCCTATGTGGTGACCTGTGTGGGGCAGGGCAGACCCACGGGCCTGGTCTTAGGTGGACTAGCCTCAGATGCAATGTTGAGCTCCTGTGTTGATGAGATTCCCAAAAGTGGCACAAGAATAACCACACTGGCAGTGTCCGGACGCTCTTCAACTGTGGGGCACCCAGACATGGCAAGACTCCACACAGTACTGACATTCCACGGTAGTGTCCAAACTGTTCAGACATATTGTAAGTCTATGGGGCTCCAGGCATGGCAAGACTCCACTTGGCAGCCACCCAATATGGCAATGTCCAGGCTGTCTAGATACAATGGGGCTCTGTGAGGCACTCAGCTGTGATATGACACCAGCTGGCAGTGACCCCATAGGGAGGTAGCCAGGCGCACCATGCCCAGATGTAATGCTGTCCTGCTCTACTGCAGGCTTCCAGGTCTCCTGATCCAGGATGGCCCCGTTATTGTGACTCCTGCCCCCAGGCTCAGCGGCGGCCAACCTGGGCCAGGATGCGAGCGTTGGTGGCGGCCTGCTCCCTCGAAGCTCTGGCCCGGGCCTGCTCCAATAAGATCTGCAGGAGGCCAATGGGGACATCCAGCGAGAGGATGATGCGGGGGCCCGAGCGAGGGCCAGGGCTGGGGTGGCCCCAAGCAGTGGAGGGGCCTGTGGTGGTGGCTGTAGTGCTCTCTGAGGTCACAGGACAGGGAGCAGCCTGGGGAGGGTTCTGAGGGAGGAGCTGGAAGGCTGGGCTAGGGGTCCCAGTGACCAGCAGGGCTCTGCCCGATATCAGGACCATCAGCACCAGCAAAGCCCACCTGGTCATCACGTGGTTAGGCTGCAAGGAGAAAAGAGGCTCAGGGCGGGGGTTCTGAGCAGCCACAGCAGCAGACAGAGACAGATGGGGAAACCAGACAGACAGAATGGGAGACAGAGGGAAAAACAGAGAGCGAGATTAGAGAGGCCAGGCAAGGGTTGGAGAGAGATAGAAGAGACAGAGATGAAGGGACAAGACTTAGCCAGAGTGAGATTGAGAAAATCAAGACAGCACTAGACACAGCAGCGGCCAGGAGACAAAGAGTGAGAAAGAGAATGAGAGACAGAGAGCCCGGCAAGATCTAGATCTAGATGCAGAGACAGAGATACACTTAGGGAGGAGATGGAGAAGAAGAGAAAGGAGAGGGAAGACATGGAGGCAAAGCAAAACAAAGGGGCCTGGAAGAAAAAGAGGCTGGAACCACCCCAGACGCAGACACATGATAAAAGCAGGGATGTAGAGAGGCGCCTGGGTGGCTCAGCGGGTTAAGCGTCTGCCTTCAGCTCAGGTCATGATCCCAGGGTTCTGGGATGAACCCCACCCCCTCAATCAGGCTCCTTGCTCAGCAGGGAGCCTGTTCTCCCTCCCCCTCTGCCCCTTCTCCCTCTTCCCTCTGCTTGGACTCTCTCAAATAAATAAATAAAATCTTAAAAACAAAACAGGAATGCAGAGACAGAGTGAACACAGAGGGACAAAAGAGGAACCCAAGGTCCAAGGGAGCCTGATCACAGACAAAGAAGCCTGATCACAGACAAAGAAGCCTGATCACGGACAAAGAAATGGGGTCCTTAAGGTGGAGAAGCAGCCAGAGAATCCAATGCCCCCTGAGGTCCAGAGACCTCCATCAACCCAAATGCCAGATCCACTCAGCCCTCAAGGCCCTGCCCATGCCACCCAGAGCCAGCCCAGTCCTACCAGCAGCAACCTCCTCTGCGGCAAGGTGGGGCACCAGAGCAGCCCGCGGCCGGGGCCAGGCAGTGCTGTGCTGTGGGCCGGCCCTCTGCCCCCTTCGGGGCCCATTTATCTCTCTACCCCCTGTGGTAGGAGCTGGGGCATGGCTCCTGGCATGAAGCATCCCCCCACCTCTGACTCATCCCTTCCTGGGGGGAAGTGAGGACATGTCCTCAGCCCCCACTCAGTCTGCTCCTCTTTGGGGACAAGTTGGGCACTGAGGGTCACAAGACAATAACCAGGGCTGGACAGAGGGACTCTGCACCCATGCGGGACGATACTGACCTCCCAGGGGAAACCTGACCCATCTGCCACCCCCATCTCCCCAAACAGTCACAACAGGGGCCTTTTAAAACAGCAGCTTTAATGCCCCCCAGAATCAGCACCATGTCATCACAGGCTTGGGTCAAGGGGCGGGTCAGATGCAGTCACATCTGCTCACTGCCCACAGCCACCCCCACACTGAGTCATCTGCTGGGGAGGCAGGAGCCACAATGGGGGTTTGTCCACAGGGGGGAAGGCCAGACCCATGGGACCAAGTCACTGAAATAACGGACATGCTCATGCACGCTCACATGCACACAGGCCTCTAGCACCAAGGGGAGGGACAGCAGAACTCCTCCAGGAGACACTGAACTTCAGCCAATCATCTGGGCCTCAGCTCCGGGCAGCACCTAGGGGGGTGCGGCAGGTGGGAAGCTATCTTCAGATCAGTGGGGCAGCTGGGGGCAGGACAGGAGTGGGGCTCTGACTGTAGAGAGGGGATCCTCAGGTCCTTGGAGGAGGGAACATGGAGGGGACCCCACAGCTAGGGTTCTCTGCTCAGCTCCTTGATCTGGTGGGTCTGTCCCTAGCCCCTAGTCTGCGAGAGCTCCTGATCCGGGATCCCGACCAGGACCTGATCTGGGTAGGATCAGCGTCCAGACTCTTATCAGGGTGGAGGGGTAGACTCATACCTGTTCCCTGGTTCTGGACCATGTGGGGTCGGCACCGGCGCTCACAGGCCTCCCGGGTCCCAAAACGATTGGCATTCCCTCCACAGCCACCATAGACAAAGGGATGACAGTCCTCTGTGCCACCTGCCACAGCCCGATGGTACCAGCGCAGAGTGTAGGCAGTACAGGAGCCCTCGTCCAGTGGAAGCAAGCAGGGGTCTAGGGCCAGTAGGGGTCAGGAGGTCAGCAGGGGTGGTAGTAGTCAGAGAGGGACCAGGGGTCTGCCGCCGCTCCCTGAATCCCTCTGGGCCAGTGCCAGCTCTGACCATTGCCATCCTGAGGAGCTTCAGGGTCCTGGTATTCCTCCACGGAGTACTCAGAGTATTCATACTCATCATCCTCAGGGGGTACCTGCCCTGCACACAGGGTGGGGTGTCGTGAGCAAGGCCACCCTGGGGGCGGGGCAGGCAGCACTCGTGTTCATGTGGTGCCGCCGTGTTGTCCCTATGCACACGGCATGTGCCCTGCATGTGTGAGCAGTGCTGCATGTGTCTGTACCCCACCACGCATGCCCCAGGGGTCCAGCCATCCTCACCTTCCTCCTCTGCATGAGAAACCCGGAGCACAGGCACAGGGGGGAGCTGGGGGCCAGCAGTGTCTGCAGCATAGCTAGGGAGGGGTCCTGGAGTAAAGGGCAGAGGTGCAAGGCCTTGGGGTCATAGTGGTGGCTACCCCAGCCAAGCCCCTGCTGAGTGGACCGAGGTGACGGACACAGTAGGGCCTGGGATGAGGAAGGTTCCGGGAGAAAATCCCAGAAAATTACTCACGTGATCCAGAGGCAATAAACTGGCCCTGGCAGGCTGGAGAGGGCAGAGAAGGAAGGGCAGAGAAAAAGACAGAGGGACACACACAGAGAAGGGCAGAGGAGGCCAGAGGAGGACAGCAGGAGAGAATAGCAGAGAGATCAACAAAGAAAAGAAAGTATGGGTAGGAAGCAGAGAGACAAGAGACAGAGCATCACTCTCTGATACCCACCGGACTGCTCCCACCTCCACCCCCTACACATGGCCACACTGGGCTTCTAGGAACACTACTGTCCATCCACATTTGCTGTGTGTCACCATATGGGGAAAGTCTCATCAGCATGTCTGTCCTGAAGCACATATGTCCTGCATACCCACTCATCTCCTTGATTGCTTGTCCCTTGTAAATTCTGGGGACCCTGCTTGCCCCTGTCTAGGGGTGCTGGGGCATAGTGGGAATGGGACCCTAGAGGCTCTGAGCTGGGCCCCACTCACCGCAATGTTGACTCATCTCCTGGCGCACAAACCCTCGAATGTCATCCTCCTGGGACACAAGACCATAAGGATCATGAAGATCCCGTGGATCACGGGAGAGACAAAAGGCATATGATGCAGGGATCATGGAGGGACAGCACTGAGTCAGGGGCCCAGGCCCAGGGGGTCAGGATACTGGGTGCGGGAGGTGGAGTCTGGCCCACCCAGGCCCACACTTACTGTTAACGCAGCTTCTCCCTTCTCTCCACGGGGGCCAGCGGGCCCTGGCCGCCCCTATGCACAAGGGATGGGACCAGGCTGTGACCTCTGATCTTGGGAACACCAGAAGTCACCCCAATTTCTGACCCTAAGCCCATGGATGCCCACTCACCTGCTCTCCTCTCTCTCCAGGGGTCCCAGGGGCTCCAGGGGCACCCACCATTCTCTCTCCAGGGGGACCTCGCTCACCCTGTCAGGCACAAGGACCGAGTGAACAGTCAGAGAAGCAGGGAAAGTTGGAGATCATAGGTTCAGAGATTGGGGCAGGGGTATTGGGGATGGGTGGTAGGTCAGAAGTCGGTGAGGTTGGAAGGGTCAGGGGGTAGGGGGCAGAGTTACAGCATTTTACCTTCTGGCCCTGAAGTCCTTCTGGGCCTTTGGGACCGACACTGCCAGGTGGCCCAGGAGGACCACTAGGGCCATCATTGCCCCTAGGACCTGGGAAGCCCCCAATTCCTGGGGGCCCCTGTGGAGAGACAGGTCAGGGTCACAGCCCCAAAAGCTGGATGCATTTCCAGAAAGTACAATTTCCTTAGCTTACCATGACCTTGGTCTCAACTTACCCGCTCCCCTTTCTCTCCCTGGTCACCCTTGGATCCTGGCTGCCCATCAAAGCCTCGATCACCCTGGGAATGGAAAGAAGCATGAGAAACCATCTCCCTCAGCCTCCTCAGATAAATTGTCAAGAGCCCCTTGGCCCAATGGCCACAATCTTCCATGACCCAAGCACCTGTGACCCTACCATTTCAGGACCCTCCATCTGCCATGCTCCCCATGAGCCTGACCTTCCTGCAATCTCCCTTGTTCTGATTCCACCTATGTCCTTTTTTTTTTAAGATTTTATTTATTTATTCATGAGAGACACAGACTGAGAGAGAGAGGCAGAGACATAGGCAGAGGGAGAAGCAGGCTCCCCACAGGGAGCCCGAGGTGGGACCCAACCTTGCCTCCTGAGATCAAACCTGAACCGAAGGCAGACCCCCAATCGCTGAGCCACCCAGGCATCCCCACCTATGTCCTTTATACTGACACTCCAACCTCCCCCACTGACATCTTAGCCTTGATGCCCATCTCCCCACTTCTCCACCTCTCATCCCTTAATCCTACCAAAATCCCCACTGTGACCCCAAGCCACCCTGAAACCTCAAGACCAACCTCACTCTACTCCCCCAATGTCCCAACCTTCCACAACCCTTTTGACATGAAACCCTCATGATCCTACTGTGATCATCCCTGCCCCATTCTGACCCCCTTCTGTCTACTGTCGAGAGACCCCATACCTTGGGACCAATCAGGCCCTCCTTCCCAGGGGCCCCCGACTGGCCCGGCACACCTGGCTCCCCCTGGAGAAGAAAAAACATAAGCTGGGCCCTGGCCTACTCATCCCCTCCCCATCCTGGGTGCCCGACACTCACCATATCTCCCTTGCGTCCTGCCAGCCCAGGGCGGCCTGGGGGACCACCTTCTCCCTGTAGGCATCAGGTGGAGGTGTCAGACGTAAGCTCTGGGCCCCACAGCTGCTGACATCCCCTATCACCTCCTTACCTTATCTCCCTTCTCTCCATCGAGGCCACAGGCCCCCTTTACCCCTCGTTCACCCTGCGGGGGAAAAGCAGATGGAAGAGGGACTTCCCAACACCTCACCCCATGACCCCTTGATCACATAACCACTTCCCAAACTGGCCTCAGACACTCTAACCTCTGACCTTCCAACCCCTAACCTAATAACCTACATTTAACCCCAGATACCCAACATTTGACCCAAGATACCTGACCTTCAACCCCAGGTACCGTGACCACCAACATCAGGCTCCCCTGACCAGGGAAAAAAAGACCCAGCCCCTTCCCACCTTGAGGCCCCTGGGGCCCATGAAGCCAGGATCTCCTTTGTCTCCTCGGACACCAGGGGTTCCATCCTTTCCTGGGGATCCCTGGTGGGGAAAGAG